ACAATAACGAAAGCTCATGTGTTTTTAGGGTATAGGCTGCCGTACTGCACGCAAACTCTATTTTTAATTAAATATACTCGTAATATTTTGGTGCTGTTATTAATTGTTTTAAGTGGGATCCAAATCATCAAATTAAACACTTTTAGGTAGGGCCATGTCAATTGTACGGATACGGGATACGTGCTCAATAATGAGCATGTGACGTGCATAATAAAATTTTCGGTAAAAGAGGGGAGCAAATTAAACCGCCGTTCTGACAAATTTAAATCAGATGCTTAGGAACCAAGTTGCCTAATGTAGGTGGTCTAACATAATATACCGTGCATAGTTAGAACTATGTTATATTTTAATATTCAAAAACTCAGATCTATTAATATCAAACGGTTATCCAACATTTATAATCTGATAATTTTTTGTGACGGGGGCACAAAGTATCACACTTTAGGTTGGTTTGCAACTGCTTCTAAAAAAGCACTTCTCAGCTTTTGGCTTTAAAAAAACACTTATTTTCCCAAACACTACAACTTTTATTTTTCTCGGCTTCCGCGTCAAAAGTGCTTTTACCTTTTCTATTACACAAAAAGCACTTATTTTACCAAACACTACCCACTTTTACTTTTCAAAATCACTTTTTTCTCAAACACTATCAACTTTTATTTAATCACTTCTCTCCATTTCATTAAAAAAAACACTTTTTTAAAAGCAGAAGCTGTTGCAAACAGACCCTTTGTGTGATAAGATTGGCGTTGTTAAATCCCGTTTAGAATTCGTTTATGATAATCCATAAATTAAGTATATAAGGATAACTACTTATATTAAACTATCTTAAATAAAAACTTGTTTTACCTGAAAGACATTTTCTATCTCTTGAGGTAGTCTTTACATCTACATGCGCTGTTTACCTGAAGGGTTTATATGAAATACAGCAGTTTACGGTATTATATTTTAGTTCTTAACGGAACACTTCAGGTAAAGATCTTTTCATAGGGACCATTCAAAATACCGTAAAGTTCTAAACGAGTTCGGAGTGAAATCTGAAATATTTTTCACAAATATTTAGCTTATTCCCCTATACCGTAATAGAGCATTCCAATACCCATCAAGATATAAAACTGCGGTTATGAGAATTTTATATCTAAGTTTAAATATACCTTTTCCCGAGATCTAATCTAGACAATACGTATAACTTAAAAATTCTTAGATATTTTTGTCTGTGTTTGAAACAATTGGTAAACCCTAATGTCTAAATGTTTCATAAGTCTGTATAGGCCTGTTTAACAAATTACTTTTGAATCTGGCACTTATAACGTTTCATAGGCTAAGTAGATTTACCAAGCTATACTTTTTCAGCAAATGGCAAAATATATTTCTCGTGTAGAAATCGCTAGAGTGTACAATTTATAATATTTGTCTATCCTAAGGCTGTCGGATAGCTTTTGTTCCGACTTTACTAAGTTGTAATAATCCAGTAGGTTTGAATCATGAACAAAATACATTGGATTAGAAATTAGGTTAAATCAAAATCTCTTACAGGATATTGTTTTGATCTTTCCAAAAGGTTAATATATATTTATATTAAATATGAGATAGGCATTCTAAATAATCCAATGCGACTATATTGATTTATAATGAGTAAAAGTATACGAATTGAGAACTTATATTTATTTATATATCGGAGCTGATATAATATTTAAAGGGTGTTGATATATAGGACCATAGGATCCCTACTTATTGCTCTATATCCGATATGTAAAGTGATGGTCCTCATAGGCATCCCTTCATTATTTGGGGTTTAGGGCTCTTTTAGGGAATACCTTTATCGGCCAAAAAGATTCAGTATCATGTCAAGTTCATATTTAAAAGATATGCTTTTCAATCAGATCAAATTCTAAACCTTTTAGAATTTACTCTGAACTCGTTTTGGCTAAATATTGAGATCCCTACTCATCCCTTAAAGTGCTCTATTGAAACCTCATGCGCCGGGATGAAAACTTATTCTTCCGAACTTCCCAGGTAACACTATTTAAAAACCATAAATAGGGATCTAAATATAGTGCAAAAGCTATCTTGTTTTAACCCTTATATTGTTTCAACGCCACGAGATATAGTGAAGTTGCCTGAAGATTCTGTCTATCTCTATACAAAGCTATTTAATCCCAGTGTAAGGATTAAAACGTTTAAAATGCTAATAGATCAATCATAGAGATATTTGTGGACATCAAGATTTATCTTAAACGTAATTGATGTGTGTTTTCTCGCACTTAAAAAGATTGTAATATAGTGGTGTAAGTACGAGTATCGTCTCCACAGGAACGGACAAAAGGGAATCAAAGATTAACTAAATTTAGCGATTAGAAATAAATAAATAAAAATGCGTCGTGCGAGATTGGTTGCTGGAAAAATAAAAATGCGAATAAAACGATTAAACTAGGGGGTTCTTTCTAATTAATGACGATGGGAACAGGGATTGATTCCGGGGTACACTACAAGAATTTCGGAAATTAGTGGCGGAATTCTGTGGCGGAAATCATTCCGCCACTATTTGGTGTCGGATATTAAAGGAGGATTACGATCTGCCGGTGTTTTGTGGCGGATATATCCGCCAGTAATCTTCGCCAACAAATAATGACGGAAATAATTCTGTCACTAAAATCCGTCATTAAACTACGGAGTAAAAAATCAATCTTCCACGGATCTCACTTTATCCATTCACTTCAATAGCTCGATCTAAAACAAGGACTTAAGTTTAAAAATGACATTTGTAAAAGAATGTTTTTACATATATTTTATTAACTTATTATACGTGCATAAATTTTTAGATAATAGAAAATATTTTGCTCTTTATTTGTTTGGTTTCCAAAATCTCTTCAAGAATCAATTTTAAAATCCAATTGTAAGCTAAGTGTATTACTTAAATGAGGATAACTTGTAGAAAATAAATAGAAAATTTCTTACTAGGATGTTTTGTTGTCTTAGTGGGATGTGTTTCAATCTCAGGCTCGATTAGACTACTCTAAACATAAAAAGATCAGACATATCATACAAAGTTAAATAGATTAGACTAGACTTCAACATATATAAAATACATATAAGTTATACATCTATCAAACGAGACCAAACCAGTTCAGACAGACCAAACAAGACAAAAAGAATTAATCTAATTAAGAGCATGATTAAAGTTATATGTATTGTAGATGAAATTCGTAAAAAAAAAACATGTGCGGCTTTTGCAACTACTACGTATTAGATAGCGGACAAGCTTTATGTTATGGCACATTTATGCTCATGTAATACAAAAGTCTAACCTTAAGATAATATTTATTCCCTTCGTCCCGAAAGAACTTCTCATTTCGGTTTACGATGTGATGGTACTATGGACTATAACCATAACCATAACCCAATGTCGGATTAATAAACAGAGTCCATTACTCGAGATTAATGAATAAATCCGGCTTAACAGGGGGACCGTTGCCCGCGTAGGAATGCACACATCCAAAAATGACTTGTTTTGCAGGTCTCAAGCCTAGGCAGGATTCCAGTGAGGTCGGGCTCACCCTAGGTGTTATGTGGCAAGTCATTACGAACGCAAGGCTATTTGGCCGCAACAAGGATTAAACTGAAGAGACATGGACATAAAGGCGCATTAATGACAGGAGTTATGAGAGACATGAATGTACCAGTTATGTCTCCTAGATGAAGCGGTCCAGCCCAGCTGGTCGCCGACTCACTCTCGGGGTGTGGACGAGTCTAAAAGGCGACATGATGACCTGATAAGATCAGTGGTGGACGGTGGCCAACCCCACCCATGATGTGAGGATTCGAGAACCATTTGTGCGATGAGTTATGGACCCCCTTTGCCGCATGAGTATAAGCCTTGCAACATCGAGGTCTATCGTGGAAGACCGATCCCCAACACCATATGTACAGGTACACGGCTTACATGCTATGATGGGGGTATGAAGATGTAATCAGATGTTGAGGATTTTCCGTCACACTAGATGGACCAGCCGAGGAGTGGTACAATTCATTACCCAACGGGAGGTACAGAGCTTCCGGGAGGTTGCCCAACTCAAAGTTCTATCTTTCAATCAAACTCCAAGTCAAAGGTCTACCCTTCGGAGTTCACTGTCAGTCGTCGGAATCTGCCGCCCATGTTTGGAAAAAGTAATCTCAACTTGTTAACTAATTTTAAAAAACAAGCTGAATAATGGGAATTTAACACCAATAAGTACCGGTGGCGGTTTTCTTGTGAAGTACTCCCTCCGTCCCAGGGAGAAGTTCCCAATTTCCTTATTTGGATGTCCCAAAAGAAACTTCCCATTTCCCTAAATGGAAAGTTATCCTACATTAAAACAGTGCTAAACAGTGCCAAACAGTGTCGAAACAGTGCCAAACAGTGTCGAAACAGTGCCAAACAGTGTCGAAACAGTGCAAAACAGTAAAGTTTACCCCTTAGTGACTTTATTTTCTTTGTGTACAGAGAAAACACACTTGTCGTATAAGCCGGCGTGTACAAGAAGTATTTTTCTTATTTTTATAATATGTGTGGATATAGGGATGTTATCAATTTTTGGCAGAAATAAACATTTTTTTTATCATCAAGAAAAATTAAACATTAACAAATGTAGATTAAAAGAAACAATAAAATATATTTTTAAAAGCGAATCTATCAATCTAGCAATACATAAAAGACGAAGCAGTATCAAAATAATTTGGAAAATGATGTTTGTACCCACTTTTATACCCACTTTTGTACCCACTCATGTTTATGAAGTTATTTTTTTTTGTCTGTGAAGAAATTCAAAGACATATTTTGTCTGTGAACCGGTTTCGCATACAAAAAATAGTCTTCACAAAGGTGGGTACAAAGTGATGAGTACAACAACCATGATTGAAATAATTTTGGCACCATAAAAAATTTCGAATCGTCCCCCCTGCCTAAAAAATTTCAACAAATTTCGATTCCCTCCCTTTTTTCCCAAAATTTCAAACTCCCTCCACTTTGGTTTAAAAAACCCAATGAATGATTTGTATCTCAACACCGTACCCTTACACCCTTACTCTATCTTTTCACTATGCGCACCGCGGCTCCCCCCTCTCTAACCCTAGCAAGTACTCTGTTGCAATACCATTTCAGCACCGCCGGTCGAGTAGCAGGCAGGAGTCCATCATCCACCAAATGCATTCAATCGGCCTCAAATCACTCAATTATCCTTCACCGTCTTTCTCAATCGCATCAAAGCCTAAGGTATTTCTACTTACCTTTTTTCTATTTTCTCACAATATCATTCCGTCATTATATTAAATTATTAATATAGTAAGGTATTGCTTTGTTAATCAGTTAACATGAATACTGTAAAAATCAATTCTAATCAGTCGATTTTCTTTGGGACTGCTTACTTGCTTAGTAGTGTAGCAGGCTGCTATACGGAAGAACACATCTTACAATAAAGAAGTTATGGTATGCAATTATTTCTTTGGTAATTTTGACTTTAATTCATTTTCAGTTGCGAAAAATTGAAACTGTCTATTTGCAATTATTTCTTTGCTAACCCTGTCTTCAATTTGTTTTTCTCTCTAACATGAAGTGTAAATTTAGAAGTGACATACACAAGAAGTCTTAGCAGTGGCCATGGCTCTTCTGAAAGTCTTCAAAGCTCAAGGTAATATACTGCTGAATGTATGTTTTCTATTACAAAAACTCTTTCATCTGTTTGTAGTTCTAAGTGCAGTGAAAGTGTTTTCTTTTCTCTTTTTATATATTTTAACAAATAAAAATATAAACTGGACTTCAAGAACATTTGTGTGGTGAGATAGTTTGTTTCATTCTTGATGCCCTGAGTCCTATTTTTTAATTCATTACAGATTTATTGTGTTCCAGAAATGAATTCAATTTGGCTGGTATGTAATCTATTGTTGTTTTAAATTCATACGTAGTTTTGAAATGAAACAATTAGAATGTGTAAGGTATAATACTCTTAAAGGACTTGGATGTTTTGTAAAGGACTCTTAAGGTAAAAATAAAAAACTTCTTGCACTATGGGTTTGTGAATTTTCCTGGATGACATTTCTTTTATTTTGTGACACTCTGTTTCACTTTGTTTTTTTCTACTTCATACTAGGTATACACACATTATAATATAGGAAGACAATGCATTCCTATATACACACATGTTCCTGACTATGAGTATAATACTCTAGATGTATAATGACATGTATCATTTTTTTTATTTGCAGAAGGCTATTAAGAGGTTAACCAATGCCTTCTATGCCTTCTGTATACACACATTATAATATAGGAAGACAATGCGTTCCTATATACACACATGTTCCTGACTATGAATGTAGTATTCTAGATGTATAATGACATGTACCACTTTTTTTTTATTTGCAGGAGGCTTTTAAGAGTTAACCAATGCCTTCTATGTAGCTGAAAGTGTTATATCTAACAAAACAAAAGCTGCAATGTCCAAGCTTCTTCTTGCAATCCGATACTTGCATTCAAGCCTCGTTGATAACTAAGAGATTACACTTGCACGAACAATTCTTATCCCATCAGACATATAGTTTTAGCTTTCAAATATTTTGTACACATTTTCAACAATACTGATGTGGTGTATGATTTTTTTTGGAATATTCTTATGATACACTACATTTTAATGTGGGTTATTATTATATATGTAGTACTTCTTATTTGTTTGCTATTATGATATTATCTGATATCTGATTGTAAAATTAAAAGTTCAAATTTAAAACATGTATGCTCTGATTTTGAGATTATTTTGGACATATTTCTTCATATTTAACGAAACAATATCTAGTATTAAAAATAATAATGATATTTAAAAAAAGAATTTATAAATATATGTGAAATTCATTTTTGTAAATATAAAAGAATTAGTGACAGAATTTAGTGACTGAAATTCCGTCACAATACACAGTGGCGGAAAAATCCGCCACTAAATACCGTCTTTATTCTGTGACGGAAATTATATTCTGCCACTAAACACAATAGCTTCCAGGTTTTAGTGACAGACGATCTGCCATAAATATCCGTCAGTAAACCTTTTCGTGGCGGATTTAGTGACGGAATTTCCGCCAGTAAATTCCGTGAATTCTTGTAGTGGTAACCAGATTTCTGGCTGATCAGGCCTAATTACATGCAATTAATTCAATTGAGCCTAGCTAATCATTACTAAGTTCTTACCGCTCTCGCGCCGTAGAGTACAATAATTTAGGGGACCAGGCTGATCTCTCATGCGACAGGATCCTAAATTATTGCAAAGAAGAGCGAGCTTACGGCCCCTAAATCCCTACTAATCTCTTAGAGAACGATTAAGTGTGTGTGAATGTGTCCTAGAACAAATTAGATCTCTCTTAATTCATTCTACATGCAATTGTAATTCTAGCTGCAGTCTAGGTTACAAGAGATATCAATTAAATTATTCAAACACAAATTAAATGACATTCATGCAATTAAAACGAAAGGAATCTAGCCATACATCATGATTAACCCCTTCATCAACCTCAAATCCCTAATTAAAACTACTCACAATTCATAATTGAAGAATCAATAGAATTGGAATAAAAAGAATTAATTGTCATTAATTAAAATGGTAGAACTTACAAAGAATCCCAAAAGATTGATGAACAAGGCTGAAAAGCTCTCTAAAATTCGTGCTAGGCACTCTCTCTAAGCTCCCCCCTCGAAAATGGGGTTTACGGGATGTTTAAATAGGAAAAACGGAGCAATTCGGACGAAAACAGGACTTCCAGGGAGAACGCACGGGCCAACGCACGGCGTGTGTTCCCCAGTGCGTCCAGATCATCACCGCGTAAAAATTTGGCACGCACGGCGTTCGTCCCCCCATGCACGGCCGTGCGTTGCTGGCAGTAGGTTCTTTGCTTACTCGCCTCAGACGCATGGTCGTGCGTTCCCCTGCGCACGGCGTGCGTAAAACTTCCGAATTTGACAAAACTTCCTTCATAAATGTTGTAGATAATGAAGACCTCTATCCACCACAACTTGCCGAATTGGATTTAGATCATCCAATCAAGAGATATGAATAAAATGGTGGAATGTCTCATTCTGAAATCGCAGCAGGGATCATCTGCCTTCATTGTCTATTTTCACCTACTTCCTCTCATATTATCGGAATGATGTCGTCATATTATTTGTAGCTCTTGACGTTAGCTTTCATGTGGACTTTGAATCGTGTTCCTTGGATGTTTCTACAAGGAGATATGCGTGAACGATTGACAAACGGTCACCCTGATCGCCGTTTTCCAGCTCTTTTCGCCTTCTTTTGATCCTGTAGCCAATCCTAGAGCTCTTTTGTCATCAAATATTCATCGTAAACCTCCCACTGACCTTCAAAGCTCTCAAATCAATCTTGAATTCTTCTAGAATCTTCCCGATTTCTCCTCAAACGCCGGTGCCGAACTCCAAATTCCTGATTTTGACTCCAAATGACACAAAACTCAAACCAACACCTGGTAAACATAACTTGAGCTATATTTGAGACTTGCAGCACCTTAAAGCTAGGAAAACCATCAAAATCCGATTCCAACACGCGTCAAATGCGTGTCTAAATACGGACTTAGCAGTAATTTAAAGGATGCTTTCGAAATTGATTAGCTATTAGCCACCTTGTAAACCTAAGAGTGTTAAATATGATTTAGCTCCTATCGGATATGTTTTGTTACGATGGGAAATAAAGATATAACCTCAAAAGGTTATATTATATTTGGTGTGACAGAACGGAAGATAAACTATCAAGTATCCCACTTTCGTTGTATTATGTACTTCCGTTGTATTTTATACCCAAGCATAAATATAGAGAACAACTTTCCGTTTGAAGATACGGAGTAAGTTTTATTAATATAGCAAAGATATTGATACTATTCACAGAGATTCGGTTACGAGTCTATGAGTGCACAGGTAATCAATGTGTTGGACTGTTGGTGATAGCTCATAGATAATACGTAAATATTTCATAATATGATTTTATACGTATAAAACTATACTGATTAAATATCAGTATGAAACCTAACCCCTCCACGTTTAGATTTTACACAGTAGACCAACCCTAAACTTATGTCTCGAGTGGATATTATAACGTCTTCACGATAATATATGAGTGCCATGAGGTCCATAAACCCTAAGGTGTGTCCTAGTTTGAAGATATTTAGAACTCAAGAGTCAAGACCATGCCTTTAACGGTTTTGTAAGTCTATTACACAAAGTTTTGAAGGATAAAATAGGAACAATTTTAGAGTTCCTATCAAAATTATCCTCATAGCACAAATTTCTGTTAGTAATCATAACAGACTTATTGCCTAAATAATCATGGACACCGAGGTTCAAAATGGCTATTGTTTTTATTTCTAAGTTCTCAGCTGTGTTCTTAATTCTATGATCACGTCATATCTTGTGGTTATAAGGGATATGATTATGTTTATTACAATCATATCCAGAATAGTGATCTCTGTGTAAATATCTATTTTTAAAGATAGATATACATATTGTTTGACGAAATTCTATAACACAGTTTTTAAATTGTTTATAAGATAATTTAAAAAGCTTTATACACCCCCTTATACTGTGACGCCCCGGATTGCATCCGTGCCACGTAGACAACCGTCGTACAACCCAATAAAAACAACGTAGTTCATTCTTATTAAGTCATACAAGGTGTCCGATAGATTCTATTGCCAAACCGATTAGTAAACCATACAATCAACATCAATATATTAGTCAAACAATGCGGAAATGAAATACATTTGATATTTAGCCACACATGGCAAATATGAGCATGCAGGCCCTTCAATAGTTCAATAGAAAACATCGTTCAAACATCGTTCAAACAACAACGGAAGCACGAACCACGTCTTCCTTATTTGAGTCCACCCTAGGCAAAGGTGCAGGTAGCAGGACTCTAGCCTTAACCTGAAAAATGTGAGGGCCCTCGAAGGGGTCAGTACTCCATAGAAAGTACTAGTGACAAGCAGGCTATATGAGGAATAACTAATGTTTCAGACACGAGACCCAAAAATAGGATGATACATATATTTATAGGTGTAACCATTGTTAGCTCATTCCCAAGATAATACATAATGTATATACTTGTAAAATACTTGACCCGTAGGTCGTTTTCTCACAAAAAGTCTTTTACAGATAAGGTATTTAACCAACCTTTCCCCTTTCATTCATAAATGCCTAGCTCAAGAGCTACATTCTACCTTCATAATATCCTACCGAGTTTCAGGAGTGTTTACCGTCCCGGGGATACTCAACCCCAACCGAGTTTAAGGATCATTTACTGTCCCGAGGATACTCAACCTCAACCGAGTTTTAAGATCATTTACCGTCCTGAGGATACTCAACCTCAACCGAGTTTTAGGATTGTTTACCGTCCTGAGGATACTCAACCTCAACCGAGTTTTAGGATTGTTTACCGTACTGAGGATACTCAACCTGAACCGAGTTTTAAGATCGTTTGCCATCCTGAGGATACTCAACATCAACCGAGTTTTAGGATCGTTTACCGTCCTGAGGATACTCAACCTAAACCTTATTCCTTACCAACCCTAACCTGGATATGGCTAACCTTTCATTCACTTAACTATGATCAATACCTAGTCCTATAGTCATATAGTAATCCCTAGTGACCAACGTGGGTGGGTCCCACTTGAATGATCCACGTTAACGTGCTCAAAACTGCCTGTTTTGGGCATAATCCAATACCCGATCGGGTATCCAACCCTACCCGGTCGGGTAGGACGAGGCAGTAGCCCCTGGACCCAACTTTACTTGAGACCCGGTCGGGTCCATACCCCTACCCGGTCGGGTCTAGTGTGGCAGTGGCTTCTGGAGCCATTTTAAATCAATACCCGGTCGGGTATTTACCCATACCCAGTCGGGTATCACCTTTGTCTCGGCGGTCAACGCCCGTTTGACCGCCCAAACGAAGTCCGATTAATGTGAAATTTTATACACATGTACTCCTTGTCATCTTTGATCAAAAAATTCCATTTTGGATCCCTGGAGCATTCTACATAATAGGTTATCACATTTTAACCATCAAACATACATAACATGCTTTTCAACTATGTTCTATACATAATCATGGCATAAGCAAATACTTGATTACTTTAGGTAATATCATGCTTCACTCAAAAGTTATAAATCATATAGCCGTCTTCTCACCTTAAAAGAAGCTTATGAAGTTCTAGCCTTTCTTATTGAGCTCCGGTGAAACTCTGGTGAACTTCAACTAACTCCGGCGACAACTCCGGCGAACCTTTCAACTCTGTGAAAGTTCTTGAAATACCTTATAAAAGTCAATAACAAGGTTTTATGATCATAAAACCCATATCAACATAAATAACCTCTAAAAGGTTATTTTCCGACGAACCCGTTAACTTTGCTCTCAAAGTTCGTTTTGGGTATAAACCAACCCTCCAACTCCCATCCCACACTATTGCATGTGTAGAAATATCCTAGGAGTATGAAATATGATTAAAGAGAAGAAATGGTATTAATGAGGTCATTACCTTATTAACCACAAGTTTTCGCACCTAAACTCCTATTTTCTCTTCTCTTTTTCCTTCCTTCTTCCTCCCTTGCTCTTGATGCGTGTATGGGTGATAACAATGGAGTTTTGCAGAGTTTATCTCCCCTTGGAAAGTGGTATGGGCGAGCTGTGTGAGTTGGGGGTGATG